GAGAAGCCATTCGAGTGCACCGAGTGTCACAAGGCATTTCGTACGTCTAGCGCACTGAGTACACATCTTCGGACCCACACTGGGGAGAAGCCATTTGAATGCGTCGTGTGCCATGCAAAGTTTACAGTATCAGGAACACTGCGTAACCATCTGCGGACACATACTGGGGAGAGACCGTATGCGTGCACCGTGTGTGACAAGGCGTTTACTAAATCCTCCACACTTAAAACCCATCGTCGAATCCATACAAAGGAGAAGCCATTCGAGTGCACCGTGTGCCAGAAAACCTTTGCGACATCGGGTTCTTTGCGCTCGCATCTTGCAACCCACACCGGTGATTTTAGCAGTTTGGAGCTTATCCAGTCTGGCCCAGCACGTGACCTTCTAACAAAAGCGACCCATTCTTGTAAATAAATGATCTCGTTCTTCAAAGTTCCTACCTTTTTACGCTTTCTCAGCCTGGTGCTTTGCAGGAATTGCATGTTGTCGTTTATACTATACTGCACAGTTTTTATGTTTGACTAAATCATATTTGTTAACTTCTTTTTCATGAATATGCAGTGAAATTGTATTGTTTCTGGAATTATAAATTCGCCTTTTACATCTAATGCACTCTGTGAGTACAAATTTGCTTACATTTTCCATGATAGCCACCTTAACATTTTGGGTTGTGTTTAGACTCGCAAAAATTGACAGTGTACAAATTCAACTTTTTAAAAACAAATCTCTTTTACTTACTAGGATTTCGTACGCATTTTTTAGGCAAACTGAACGCCGTAGTTGTAATTTCCGTACGAGTCTCTCATACAGCCTCCCTAGAGTCACGTGTCGCACGACGATGGCTCTCCCTCTCCATCTCCCTCTCTCGCTCCCTCTCTCTCTCTCTCTCTCTCTCTCTCTCTCTCTCTCTCTCGCTCTCGCTCTCGCTCTCTCTCTCGCTCTCGCTCTCGCTCTCGCTCACTCTCGCTCTCTCTCGCTCTCTCTCGCTCTCTCTCGCTCTCTCGCTCTCTCTCTCTCTCTCTCTCTCTCTCTCTCTGGCTGCGCGTGTATGAATATGCCGGGTGGCCGCCGGCCTCAGTCGCGACAGGACTCCGATCACGTCTCTACCTGGCCGCTGTGCACATCCCGCCCGCGCCCGGCCCCAAGCGCCGGTGAGTGAGTGCGGCACGAACTTTACAAACACTTGCTCTGTGTAACCGTTAGCGTTATCTAAAGCGTGGTTGGTGAGCGGGGTGTGTGTGTGGGGGGGGGGGGCGTTGCAGTGCCAATGTCAAGGTCGACGCTGATCGGGGGCGGCGCTGCAGACGGCGGCGCTGTCGGTTCGACCTGCGGGGGTGGGGGAGGGGGCGGAGGCGGAGGCGGAGGGGTGTGCAGCCCTAGGAAGGCGCCAGAGCAGCGCGGTCGCGGCCCGCCACCGCGCCCCGCGCCCGAGCAGTGGCAGCACCGCGAGCGCGCCGCGCCGACCTCGGGGACCTCGTCGTCGTCGTCGTCCTGGTCGGACATGGTCGCCGCCGTGGCGGGCGGTGCCGGAGCCCGTGACGCCGCGGACGACCCGCGCCGCCGCTCGGCACACGTCGCCGTCGTTCTGTCATGATCCTAATCGCCCAGCCCCTGAGTCAGGTACGCAAACAGCGCGGCGCGGCGCGTGGGGCGTTTCCGCGTGTTTTCGTAGATTTTCTCGGAAGCCCTTTATGGCCGCACGGCAAAACATGTGCATACTTGATACTTATTTTTATTTTTTATGAGCACAATGACGTCTAAAGGGGGATAACGTAACGTCGCTGCAGTGCTTTGTTGAGGCGTTAGCCTTATCGTTTCAAAATAATTACAAACTTTTTAAAAGATTTTTTTTGGGGGGTTGGTGATCACTCTGTTGTGGGGCGGAGAGGGGAGGGTATACCTTGGCACGAAGATGTACTGGAAACTGGAACAGTTGGAGGGGTAGGACATCCACCCC